CCGCGCGCAGGCCCCGCCCCCGAGGAGCACTTCCGGCGCCGCGGCGGTCTGTGCCACCCCGCGGGAGGGGCCGGAGGTCTCGGCCTGCCCGGCAGTGTCCTGGAAGCGCCAGTAACCCCCACGTGGCCAGGCGTGCTGGCTGCACCCCAACTCCGGCCCGAGCGTTCGTGCAAGATTTGGCAGGGCGGTAAAAGCTCAGTGTGTTTGCCACGGGGACACCTGAAGGCCACTTAGGGGAAAGCCAATAGTCGGTTTTAGGTTAAAGGGGCGACTTGTTCCCCGGAGGAGGGCCAGGGTCCGGTTCAGGGAGGAGGGGGCTCAGTGCCGAGTGGGGAGGGGGGCCTAGACGCCCTTCCAGGTCTGGGTAGTGGCCTGGAGGCCTGGAGTCCCACTGCTCCCAGTAGAAGATGGGGGGGCACCGGGCACTGAAGGCAGAGCCCCTCCGAGCAGCGATGCTTGGGGGTGGGGGACATGCTGGTGGCCGGCCCTGTTGCCGGGAGCAGAGCGCGAGGCTTTGCCCTGTCCGGGTCAGTCTGGCGACCCCAGTGTCGCGCCAGCATCGAGGCTTCCTTGCGTGCTTGCCACCACCTGCCCCCCATCCTCACCCTCTGCACCCCGCCGTCTGTAGTTCCTGCTTTAGCACACACATTTGGCCCACACCCTCAGCTTCCCTCGGCGCCCGCCAGCTGGCAAACCCTCCCGTGCACTGTGTCCCCAGGTGGGACTGAGCCTGGTGAACGGGCACCCAGGCCCCCAGAGCCCAGGGGCATTCCAGAGATAACCTCTGACTTCAAAACAAGACTGGGCTTTGCAGCCCCTGAAACCCCCACAGGCCCAGATGCACCTATAAGAGCTAGATACAGATCAGCAGTGGCCAGCAGACAGCTATGCTTCCTCACCTAGCCAAACCTTTACCCCCCCAACCTACAGACCCACCTAGCCTGTTAACCCCCGGGTGGGCGGACTTCCCAGACCCAGTCTCAGACCCACGCCAGGGATCTGTGAATCTCTCCCAGAGTGCAGTAAAGCCTTCCCCTCTGTCACTTCTTTCTCCTTGCCTTATTCTGTCCCCGGGCCCTACACCCAGGCCACGCCTGGCTCGCAGTCCACAGGTCGCCGCAGCCCGTGTCCAGGTCCAGCCACAGCCAGACCTTCCCTCCCACGTGTGTCCTCCCTTCCTTCGTGGGACCATTTCCTCTATTTCCAGCAGCCAGGCCCTGCCTCTCCCCAGGAGATCCTCCCTTCCCCCTCGCTGAGCTTTAACCTCTCCCTTTGCACAGCCTCCCCCCCCCGGAAAACGCCTTCTTGCCCAGCCTGGGCTGCGCCAACACGCGGCTACGCGGCTTAAACAGGCGCCTGCTCACACAGTTCTAGAAGCCAGAAGTCCAGGCCGGGGCGCCGGCTGGGCGGCAGGGCCTCTCCTCCTGTCGTGCCTCACGGCCTTCTCAGGGGTCCTCCCAGGCGTGTCTGGGGTACACCTCATGTTCACTACTCACGTTGGCCTGGGGTGGTGTGTGCATCTGGGGTCACAGCCACAGCATACGCATGTTGCCTGGGTGAGAAGCCTTAAAGCCCTTCCCTCCGAGGACACCCCTCTTTTCCTGGGAAGTGGGAACCAAGTGTCTGCCTCGTAGCCTCCTCATCTAAACACAGTGGCCTTGGGCTGTCACAGGTGGGGGGCTCCCACTTCTGGAGAAGGAGACCCCTCTGTGTGGTGTCAGGCGAGTCACCTCTCTGACACTGTCTGGAAAGAGGGCGCATGCGATTCACATTGCATTGGAAGGACTCAAAGCTCTGCTGCAGGGCCCCCCCACCCCACCCCTGCCAACCTGGCAGAGCAGGGAGCCCCCAGGCTTCGCCAGGGCAGCCAGCCAGAGTCCAGAGGGGGCAGCGTCTCCCTCACACAGTGGCACTGTTGTTCCAGCTGGAAAAGCTGGAACATGACCCTTGAGGGGGGCAGGCCAGCACAGGGGGGCGCTGGGAGCCGAGCCAATGTGGAGAGTGGCCTTCTGCTGTGAGGTCCTCGGCCCCCTGGGGGTCAGGGCCGCCCACCTGTCAGGGCCATGTGAGGCCCCGGGCACTCTCGGGCCTCAGAGTCGCTTGTGCGGCATCCACTCACCCTTGCACACACACCAACCCTCTAGTTTGACAGAACCCCTTCCCTTCCGGGGTGCCTGGCGCATCCCGTGGGGCAGCCTGGGCCCGGTTCCCGTTGTCGCCCACAAGCCTCAGGCCACAGGAAGCCCTGGGAGAGCCCAGGAAGGGGTGTCCACCATGCTCCTCAGCCCTAACCAAGCAGAGTGGCCCAAGGGGCTCAAACAGGCTTGTTTCCTGTTCCTGTGGCTGAACCCCGGTCCAGGACTGCACCGCGGGCCCTGAGGCCGCTCGCCACCTCGCTGCCTATCTTCACGCAGCCGCCGCCACTGTCCCTGGTCACAGTCCCACTCACCGCGCACCAGGGCCACCTGAAAGGCCCGGTGAACTCCTCAAGGGGCCTGTCCCCAAATGCGTTGTCTTCTGACGTCCTGGGGGACACGCCCTGAACCCAGGAACTTGGTGGGGAACACGCTTCCCAGCAGGAGCCCAGGCGCCCTGCTCATGAGCCCCAGCATCGCATTGGCACGTGGGCCCACACTGATCCTTCGCCCTCACCAGCATGTGGGGCACTTGCTGGCCGGCCTGGCACCAGAGCTGGGCCGAGCGCCCCCACAGCCCACTTAACAGGGCCCCGAGTCCGGGGCAGGGAGGCGTGGAGCTGGGTCAGGGGCAGCCGGGCCTGGCGTTGCCCCTGCTGCCGGCCCTCTTGGCCGGGAGGCGGTGGGCCCATCCTGCCCTGCGCCACCCTAACCAGCCGCCTCTCCTCTTCACGGCGTCCCTCGGTGGGTGACAGGCCTGGGTGCCCCCAGTCAGCCCGCACAGTGTGGGGGGAGAGGAAGCTGTAGCCCCAGGACGGTCAAATCAGCAAAAACTTGATGAGAACCATAGATAATTAAAAATAAACATAATCTCCCGCTGATTCCCAGGTCCTGGGGGCGGTGGAGCGTGGGCAGCAGAGGGAAGGCGCCCAGAGGCCCCCCACCCCCCAGGCCCTGAGCCAGACGCAGCCCAGAGCCCCCCCCCCAGGCCCTGAGCCAGAAGCAGCCCCGCACAAAGGAGGGCTTTGAGGTGGCAGGCAGGCCTGCGGGTCCCCCACCCCCACCGCGCTTGCTGCCCCAACCTGGGCCTCCCTGGGAGCCTGATTTAACAGGGGACCCTGAGAAGTTCCTTGTGACACACTAATCCAGACCTGCTGACTGGACTCACCCCCCAGCAGAGGCAACATCTGGGCCCAGGACCCAGGCACCGGCTGGCCCCAAGGAGCAGCTGCTGACCTGGGGGGTAAGTCAGGAGCAGGGCCGGGCTGGCCAGGGGCCCAGGGGCCCAGGCCTGGGGTGGGGAGTCGGGCTGGGGAGACCCCTTCCCAGGCGGTCCCTTAAACAGAAGCCAACAGCGGATGCTCCAGGTCGAGGGAGACCGACCGGGCGGAGGGCTCGTGAGGCAGGTGCAGCGGCACCAGCTGGTGAGCTCCTCAGGAGCAAGACCGGTGTACCCCGGATGTTGCAGGGGGCACGCTTACAGGTCAAAGGCACTGGTTGGCGACCTGAAACTCCCCTGTAACTGCATGTTCGGTGTTCCGCCTGACCCCCGGGTGGCAGGGAGCAGCCCTCACGGGGGAGGGGCTATGTTTTTTCATTGTCTATAGCACATGAATCGGTATTTTTAAAAGTCCGCGTGAACAGCTTGCTATATTGGGAGAAGTGTTACTGCCCTGACTCTGCCGCCTACTTCTAAGATGGAAGATCTTGTCTTGATGATGTGCTTAACTGGCTGGGGTGCCTGCCCCTGGCCCCCAGAGCACGGGCTGCAGCCTGCTGGCCTGCTGGCCTCTGCCCACGCGTTGGAAGGCCGGAAGTCCCCGCGAGAGCAGGTGCATGCCGGGGTCCTGCTGGGCCTGAAGTTCTGGCTCCCAGGACTTCTCTGCGTCTGGGCTGTGGAGTGAGAGGCAGGAAGTGGGAGCCCCTCAGATCTTCCGTGTCTCCTGTGCAAGTGGGGTGATGACCAGCAGGTGCTGAGAAAGGGCCGGTAACTGCTTTAGCGCGAACACGAGTGTCCGGTCTTCATTCCAGCTGGGCTTGGTCGGTGTCTCCCCACTCCCAGCTTGCGGGTGAGGAAACGGGCTCAGAAGAGCCCAGTGACTTGCCGGGGGCCGCACAGCGGTAAATGTCAAAGCCGGATTGAAACCCGGGCGTCTCTCACCCAGACAGGATTTCAGCCCGCATCCTAGTGAGCTTCCCCAGAGAGGTCTTGGGTCCGGGCAGCGGAGCTGTCTTGGCGTTAGGTAGTCAGGCTCGAGGCCCACCTGTGCCAGCGGGTGACAGAATTGACCGATAGGAACCCGGCCGAGCGCCTTGAAGGCACTTGGGGATGCTGTGAGGCGAGAAGACCGAGATCTGCATGCAGGAGAGTCCCCAGCCCCAGCGGGCTGGCGGGTGGTCTGCAGGCGGTGGCTGAGGTTCATTTGGGTGGCCACGTCCTGCCTGCGTTCAAGTCACTGACTGAGTCGTCGTAACTGCAGCAGGCAGGATTCAGGTTAAAGCACGAAAGTTGCAGGTGGCAAGAGGCCCGTTGCAGTCCAGGCCCAGTTTCTGCCACCCAGGACTCCCTCCCGCTGCGGAGGGCAGGAGTCCCCGGGCAGTGGCGGCCATGTGAGTGTGCACATGTCACTTATTCTCCTGGGTCTGTTTCCCGCTCGGTTAAATGGTAGCGACCACACCAGTCCTAGCCGGGAGAAACACTTGGTGCGTTCCGGAGCAGGACGCAGCGGCGTGACGGCAGGTACCTGGCCACCCGGCCGCCTGAGGTCACGGCCATCGCCTGGGCTGGGAGCTGCTGAGGCCCCTCGGGTGGAGGAGGGGCCGACGGCAGGAGCGAGCCTAGAGCCCGTCGCTGAGAAAGGTCAAAGTGAGGGTTTTCCGAATGGGTCGACTCACCTGAAAGAAGTGAGGTTTGAGATTCAGTTGACCCTAGACAACACGCAGACTAGGGCTGGTGACCCCCAACAGGCAAAAATCTGAGCATAACATTTGACTTCCCCGAAATGGAAGCCCCAGACTCACTCCAAATAAAAGCAGTCAATGAACGCATCATTTCTGTTTTATGCACGACACGCTCTATTTTTACCGTAAGTCCAGAGGAAGTGTTATTAAGAAAATCCTAAAGAGGGAAAATACACTTGCGTATTTCTCGAAAGAAGCCCTCACTTTGAACCTGTTGTTCAGGGCCAGCCACGCCGTGTGTGCGCCCCAGAGGAGTTCCCAAGGAGCCCCAGGAGCGTCCAGTCGTCTGGGGGCTCACTCACACCGCGTTTTCAGCCCAGATCCCCTAACAGGCAGCGCTGCTGGACCGGGCCCCTCGGCGAGACCGCGCAGCCCGTCTGTGGCCTCCTTCCCCAGGACCGGCCTGCAGGGCGGCGGGGACAGGCCTTCCAGAGGCTGCATGGCACAGGAGGTGGGTACCCCTGCCACCTGGGCCGGTGCGGCCCTCTGCCCCCTCCTCCCTCAGCTCTCCCTGCCTCCCCGCGTCCGTCTGCGAGGGGCACCGGCACTCGCCCCACACCCTCTCTGTGGTCCCCCGAGGGAGGGGCGAGGGCACTGCCCGTCTCCTGCCCTAGGTGGGCACCTTCCGTGTGATCCCGGACGTGGAGCAGGCACTCCGAGCGCAGCTGGAGCGGCTCACCACCAAGGACCACGGCCCCGTCTTTGGCCCGTGCAGCCAGCTGCCCCCCCACACTCTGCAGAAGGTGCGGTGGCCCTGCGGGCTGGGAGGGGCAGGCTGGGGGGGCGCCAGGGGGGCGCCGTGACAGCACCCGTCTCCTATAGGGAGGTCAAGCTCCAGCTCCCCACTGACCCCAAACCTAACAGACTGGGCCTGACCAGTGCTAAGCAGCACCCAGGGCTCAGCGTGTGGGCAGCACCTGGGCTGATCGGGCATCTAGGTCAGCCTGACCCGACCGCTGCCCCTCAGTGACCCTGAAGCACTGCCAGAGCCCAGGGCCCCTGGACCAGGCTCGTCCTGGGCTTGGCCATGAGACACACCCTGCGCCCAGCCGCTGCCCTCTGGACAGGCAAGAGGCCTGAGCCCAGGGATGATGCCGCCCTCCTGCGGGGCCGGCTTTCCCTGCTGGCCCTGCCTTCTGTGCCTGTGGACACAGTTGCCACAGCAGCCGGGACAGGACCAGAGGGCTCTGGGGTGCCGGGGCTGCCCCTCTGCTGAGGCTGCAGGCGGGGGGATGCTGCCGAGTGGAGCCTGGGCTCCGGCTCCTCTGTGTCCCTGAGGGCTTCGCGGGAGGTGTCCGGAGCCCTGCCAGGGCCCGCTCCCGCCCTGTGTCCAGGCGAGGGTTGGCTGGGGAGCGCGAGGTCCTCCCGGTGCAGCGCGGGACTGCGCAGGGCGGCAGCGCCCCCTACCGGGCATCTGTGGCTCTGCGCGGATGGACCGAGGCGGGAGGCGGCCAGCTGGCCTAGTACCTTGGGCTTGGCGGCCCCGGCCCAGCGCCCCAGGGCGCGCCTCTGAGGCACCGGGGTGCGCTTGCCGTCCTTACCGCGACGGGCTGTGCAAGGATTTGAAAGGATAACGCACTCAAGACTGAGCTTGGCGCCACCGGCGCCAGGAGGCGCAGGCTGTGGTCATTGGAAAGTCTTGGGCTCTCTCTGGCGAGCACACCCAGGCGGGGTGTGGCCTCCTTCTCCCAGCACAAGCCGCTGCGCTGCGCGGGAGCTGCAGGAGGCCGGCGCCCAGCGCCCAGCCGGCCGGCCGGTGGAGTTCCCGCGCCCGCCAGCGCGCCGGCACCTGCTTTTCTGCTTTTGGTCCAGGCCAGGGACGAGCTGAACGAGAGGGAGGAGACCCGGGAGGAGGCCGTGCGAGCGCTGCGCGAGCTGGTGCGGCAGCAGGCGGCCTCCGGGCAGCAGCTGGCCGTGGCGGTGGCCGAGAGGGCGCAGGCTTGGGACAGCGCCTTCTTTCTGCGCTTCCTCCGCGCGCGGAAGTTCCACGTGGGGCGCGCCTACGAGCTGCTGCGCGGTGAGCCCGGCGGGGCGGCGGCAGGGGCGGTGCTGGGCTGGGCCGACCCTCCCCGGCGGCCCGCGGGGCTCCATCTCCTCCCCGCCAGCCTGGCCCCCGCTGAGCCTCCCAGTCCTTGTCCGTGAAATGGGGCGAGTGGACCGTCCAGCGGCTCTGACAGGGGATGCACGCGCGAGTGAGGGGCAGCACTCGGAGGCTCCTCTCTCTGCCCTCCCAGGCTTGGGATCGGTGGGTGTATGGAGTCAGCCAACTGGGTGACAAGTGGGGAGAAGGCCCCCTCCCCCAGCTCGGGGCCCTTCCTCTGGGCCTGGAGCTGCAGGGCTTGGCCCCGCTGGGGCTTGTGGGTGGCGCAGCTGCTGGGAGCCCCAGGTGGGGCTGGGGTTTTAGCCGAGGGTCTCTCTCCACCCCCGCTCCGCTGACACTCTCCGTCTGTGGCTCTGCCCACGAGAGAGAGAAATACAAGTCCCGACTGGCCGCAGGTTTCAGGCCTCACCGCACACCTGTGCAGTTTACAAGCTGTTCACACCCAGAATCTGGGTTGATTATCACCACTGGTCCGGCCAATGTCGCCCTTCAACCTAGTTTTTGGAGAAGAAAAATGAGGCTCAGAGAGGTTGAGCACCCTCCTCACCCCAGGATGGGGTGGCCCTTGAGGGGTTCTCTGCTCCCCTCCGCAGGCTATGTGAGCTTCCGGCTGCAGTACCGGGAGCTCTTTGACAGCCTGTCCCTGGAGGCGGTCCGCCGCACCATCGAGGCTGGCTACCCCGGGGTGCTCTCCAGCCGGGACAGGTATGGCCGGGTGGTCCTGGTCTTCAACATCGAGAACTGGGACTGTGAGGAAGTCGCCTTCGACGAGGTCAGCGGGGGCTCCCGGTCTCTCCCAGCTCCTGCACTGCGCCCCCTCCCTGACCTTGGCCTCTATGGGGCCCTGATTCCTGGTCCCTGGAGGGTGAGGTCTGGGGGCAGCCCGTGGCCCCCAGGCAGGCGAATGGCTCAGATGGGCCAACTTCAAACCCCCCCTGCGGCACCCCGCCAAGCGGCAGTGACCACTGCGGGCGGCAACCGGGCTGGCCCTGCCAAGCGCCGAGAGCTGACCAGCACGCAGGGGCCGGGCCCAGGGAGAGCCCGGAAAGCAGTTTCCAGCGGCTGGCCGCCCGGCTCTACACCTGCAGCAGGTGGTTCCGTTAGCAGGCCCTGGGGGGCCAGTCTGGGGGGGTCAGGGCTGTCTTGGGACCATGACAGGCCCTTCACAAGAAAAAAGGCCCACCTTCATCTTAGGGACACCCTGACACCATGTAAGTAAGCGTCTGTCTCTGCCCCCAATAACTTGGGACTCTGCGTGCTCATACCCTCTAGTTTCTTTTTAAAGCTTTGTTTACAAGAACTGGGGTGCAGGGCAGAGGAGCGGGGGGAGAGGAGTGTCCTCACTGTCGGACGTGCCGCTTGTGTCCACATGGGGCCCACGGACAAACGTGGGCATCCAGCCCCGGGCCGAGGGCTCCGGGCTACTTCCTGGGGTGCACGTGTTCACAGAGGTCGGCCCAAGCCTGGGACAGCTCTCCCCAGGAAGGACAGCCCGACTCGCTCTCCCCTCGGGACTTGTCCCTGAGGAATCTCTGCGGGCTGGGTCTCGACAGCCCGGCCATTCTGTCCCCAGATCCTGCAGGCCTACTGCTTCATCCTGGAGAAGCTACTGGAGAACGAGGAAACCCAGATCAACGGCTTCTGCATCGTTGAGAACTTCAAGGGCTTCACCATGCAGCAGGCTGCCGGGCTGCGGCCTTCTGACCTCAGGAAGATGGTGGACATGCTCCAGGTGCGCCCCAGCCCGCCCCACAGGGGCCTCTCATGGCCGGGAGGGTCCTGTGGCCTGTGGGGTGCTGCCCGCAAGGCCTGAGAGATCGAGCCCCCCCCATGAAGAGCCTGACCGCAGAGCCCCGACCCCGCCGCCTGCAGTTCCAAGCCTGGGTGAAGCCAGGGCTTCCCCAGTTGCAGCATGGAGGGTACCTGCCCCGGGGGGCTGTCCTCGGGGCAACTGCGATGAGGGGGGGTGTGCTGGTACCCGGGGCAAGGCGGAGGGTGGGTGAGTGGGCCCCGAGTCTAGGGGGCCTTTGGGGTGCTCTCTCTCACTGCAGGACTCCTTCCCAGCCCGCTTCAAGGCCGTCCACTTTATCCACCAGCCGTGGTACTTCACCACCACCTACAACGTGGTCAGGCCCTTCCTCAAGAGCAAGCTGCTCCAGCGGGTGCGGGCCCACGGGGTGGGGCGGGGTCGCGGGCTCTGGGCGCAGCCCACAGCACAAGAGGGTGGGAGCGCCCTCCCCGTACACCGTCCCTCGCACGGGCAGACGTGGTGCCCGTCTGTCCTGTCCACCTCCACGCTCCGCCCTCAGCCCCCGCCGCCACACAGCTGCATGTCCCCTGCTCCTGCAGGTCTTCGTCCACGGCGACGACCTGTCCGGCTTCTTCCGGGAGGTGGATGAGGACATCCTGCCCGCCGACTTCGGGGGCACGCTGCCCGAGTACGACGGCAGGGTCGTTGCCGAGCGGCTCTTCGGCCCCCAGGCCCAGGAGGACACAGCCTTCTGAGGCTGGCTCCTGGCAGCCAGCGCTGCGGCCCGCACCGGGCTGACCTGACCCGAGGCTGGGAAAAGGTTCTCTGGAGGACTTGGGTCCCAGGGAGCCTGTATGTAGATGCCAAGTTAGTGGACGTTACAATAGCGGGGCTCCGGGAACAGCGCTGGGGGCAGGACACCTGCTGCCCCTCTCAAGCTTTAGGGCAGCACCTCCGGGGGCTGAATTCTGACTAGTGTGGCAACACTCCCGTGGGGCCTTTGTAAAGCTTTGCAACTTAAGGTCTGTGGACACAGGCCGGAGAGCTGCTTTAAAGCCCCCCCCCCCCCCCCCCGCCCAAACCCAATAAAAAGAATGAGCAGCAGCTCTGTGTGTTAATTAGCCTGCCGAGGGTTCAGCCGCTGGGAAGAGGTTTTCCCCTCGAATCTGGGGTGAAAGCACCCACTTTGGGGTGGCCTGGTTCCCTTGCGTACACAAGGGAAAGGCATCAGTTTCGTACATCTAGACTTGCATTCTAGTGTTTGCAAGCTCACCCCCCAAGAGAGGCAGGAAGGACCTGAGAGATAGAAGGAGAATCAGCAAATTATGGTGGGTGGAAGGACGGGGAGGCTCCCCCCTCCCCAAACCCTGCAGACCTTTGTAAAAACTGAGGCACCACTTACCCGAGTCAAATCTAGTCTTTGTAAAAGGGGTCTCGGCAGCCTCAGCGGGCGACCCCTCCAAGAACATCAGCAGCTAAGAGTGTGACCACTTCCAGTATCAAAATAGTGGTGTCCCCCAGCTTGAGGCCGGCGTGCGGGTGAGGGCTCCCTCCTTGCCAGGCCCAGTTCTGCTCTTCTGGGCCTTTAGTTTAAGCAAGAGATCAGGGTACAGGAAAAGCAGCAGGCAGATGCTCCCCAAAGGTTCCAGGGGCAGCTTTCGCCCTCTTCCAAGCCCAGGTGGGATGTTGGGGTCCCCCCTATAGTCAGCAGGCCAGGGCCTCACTTGGGCTGGGGGTCTCAGAAAGCCCAGGTCTCCCGGGGCCAACCCCCCCCCCCCCCCCCTTTTGGACTGCCCCGGGGTGCGCGTGTAGTCGCGGTGCACGAGAGGCGGGCCCGGCCTCCCGCGCCGCGGCCACTTCCTGCGAGTCTCCTGACCACCAACGGGTGGAGGCCGCGGGGCCACCGGTTGGAGCGCAGTGCGGGGCGCGCCCCCGGCCGGGCCCTCCCTGGGGAGCCCGCAGCGAAGCCTGGACTCACCCTCGGGGTCCTGCAGGGCCCCGGACAGGGCGCTGAGCCCCACCCTCAGCGGGGCGGCG